TTACACTTGACCTCTTCGCTCATGGAGTAGGCAGCAGTTTTTCGTCATGGTAATAGACATTGATTCTGTATATGAATGTGCCTGCTTTGCCCACAATGCTTCTGCTACCCTACCACACATAACTAAATGCCTAGTTATTTATCATGTTGATTTTTCTATTTGGCACTACATCTGACCAATTAGTTATAATGCAACAGAAATAGGCAATGAGTAGATGCCCATGGGATTCACAGATCTTATTATACATCCCACCACCCAGAAGCAGTATGCCTGGTAAAACAATGTAATAGTCTACTGAAGGTTGAGCCTGTTGAGATCTAACTACTTGTGAGGTCGGAATGCTCTTTTACGAAATATGGCATATATTGAGAACCAGTATTCAATATATGGTGCCGATTCTCCTGGGTTTGTAAATCAAGAGATAGAAATGTGACTGGTTATATTTACTAGTAACTTAATGATCCACTCAAAAAAAATGTTTTGTTTCTTATTACACCAACTTTGAACTCTGAATATTTAGAGGCCCTAGCTCTCAAGGGAGGAAAGCTTCTACTAGGGGATACACTGGTTCTGCTGACCTCAGAATTGAGACTGCTGCCTGGCCATTCGGGGCTCTTCAGGCCATTGAACCAAGGGGCAAAGAAAGAGGTTACTGAGATGATTGATCCTGATTATCAAGAAAACAGAGTTTTGCTGCACACAGTGGCGACAAGGAGTATGCCTGGGGTCCATGAAACCTTCTGGGGATGCTCTTAGTATTTCATTTTCCAAAAGAAGAAATTAATGGGAAATTAATTTTAAGCAACCCAATAGAGACAAAACCACCAAAAACTGAAAAATGAAAGTTTGGGTCACCCCACTGAGTAAAGAACCACAATCAGTTGAGCTTCATTCAAATAGGAAGAAGGAATTTACAAATACTAGCTACGGCCTTTTAGGATGAGTTACAGACTTGATTTTCTGCAAAAAGCTGCCCAGATTTTCATGTTTGCTTTGTTACATACTTGTATACACCAATTTCCCTTTACTCCCTTCCTTTCCCATGTGTTGTTGCTGGCCAAATTTATTGTTTAGTCTTTAGAGTACAGGACTGTGGTAGCCATGGACAAATACTGCTCAGATCTGCTTTGGGAGAACCTGCCGCAGGGAGCATAGTTGATGACAGTTTTCAGTGATTGCTGCTTTGAGTCCTTTATGGCAGAGAGGCTACCCTTCCATTGCACTGCACCCACCAATGACTGACAGTGGCAGGGGATATTTGAGCCAATCGTTACAGCCCAGCATAGCAATCTTTGCTCAGGAGATGTCAACCTGAATGAGACTTTCCCACACCTGCACTGGGGTCTGAAGACACACTGTCTCCTGCTACTCCCCCACACCTTTTATTCATTTCACGCATTTCCTCCAATAAATCTCTTTCACATATAATTCGATCTTGGCATCTGCTTCTTGGAGGGCCCAAAGTGACACAAAGATATGAAGATGGGATTATGACTGAAGTGAAAAACAATGATTATCACCTAGAGATAGATATTTTGACTTATGAGACTCTTGGCTTCCCACTTTGGGAAGAGGATCAGAGTGTTTTTGTTTTGCTTCAGTAGACAGGAAATCAGTTAGTGTATAGAAGACTTTAACAATATGATCAACCAACTCGATCTAATTTACATTTATTAAACAGTCCATGCAATGACAACACAATATGCGCACATCTCCCCCAAGTATCCCAGAGCATTTATCAAGATAGACTATATTCTGGGTGATAAAAGAAGTCTCAATAAATTTGAAATGATTCAGTATATCCAAAGTATATACTATGACCACAGTGGAATCAGATTTGAAATCGATAACATGAAACCTGGGAAATCCCCCAATATTTAGAAACAACATACATCTACATAATCCATAAGTCTATCTCATAGCTGAATAATATTTCATTTTATATATATGTCATGTCTTCTTTTTCCATTCATCTATAGATGGACACTTAGGTTCTAATTCTTTATCTTGGCTACTGTGATTAATGCGGCAATGAACGTGGGAATACGGATCTCTTCGAGATCTTGTTTTCACTTCCTTTGGATATCTACCCAGAAGCAGCATTGTTGGATCATATGGTAATTCTATTTTTAATTTTTTAAAGGGACCTCCATAGTGTTTCTCTAATTCGTCACCGGCACTTGTTCTCTCTTGTTGGGATCGTGGTCATTCCAGCATGTGTGAGGTCATATCTCCTTATGGTTTCGGTTCCCCTGATAATGAATGGCATCAAGCACCTTTTCATTTACCTGTTGGTTATCTTTACATCTGCTTCGGAAAAATGTCTATTTAGTTATTCTGCCCATTTTTTAATTGGATTGTTTGGATTCTTCGATTGTGAGTTGTAGTTCTTTATATATTTTGAGGCTATCACAAATGCATGGCACAGCTGGTCCTGGGTGACATAGCAGTAAGCCCGGGCTTAGGGAGGAAGCAGGAGATGCAATGTAGCCTGGCTTAGCTGAGTCTGCATTATAGCTCAGTTCCTCCCTCTCTGTGTTCCCTCTGCAGGGGGCACTAAAAGGACACCATTTCAGGCAAACCTTTGTCTATACTTTCTCCTTTCACCCCCGACTGAGCCTCTTGAAGAGCCATGTGTTCTAACATCTGCTTTGGCATTAAAGAACTTTGGGTCTCTGGGCGAGTTTTGACAGTCTCGGGAAGCAGATCTCAAAGCCTGCTGTGACGTGTTAGGAGATTGGGACTTCCCTGTGAGGTTAATGAGGAGAGCAGGGGAATGAAAGCCGATCGTATAGTCACATGTGCGTCGAAAGATTATTCTGGGTATAACATTGAGATTATTTTAGAGAGAATGAAATTAGAAAAGAGAATATCATTTTGGAAGCGGCTCCAATAATACAGATGGAAGACGGCGGTGGCCTAAAGTAGGAAAGAGGGTGGGTGTATTTGTTTGCCAAAGCTGCTGTAACAAACTACCATGGACAGGGAGGTGTAAACAACAGCAGTTTCCCGGTTCTGGAACAGCCAAAGCTGCTGTAACAAACTACCACAGACAGGGAGGCTTAAACAACAGCAGTTTCCCGGTTCTGGAGGCTGGGAAGTCCAAGATCAAGGTGCCAACAGGGCTGGGTTCCTTCTGAGAGCCATAATGGAAGGATCTGTTCCGGACCTCTGCCTTTGGCGTGCCGATGGCCCCTCTTGCTGCCTCTTCACATGGTCATCTCTCTGTGCACACGCACTGGTGTCTCTTCCTCTTCCTATAATGACACCAGTCATATTGAATTAGTGCCCTGCCCTGAAGGTCTCATTTAACTTAAGCACCCTGTCTCCAAATGTGGTCACATTCTGAGGTCCTGGGGGTTGGAACTACAACATACGAATTTTAAGGGGACACTGTTCAGCCTGCAACAAAAGAGTTACTGAGAAACATGTAATTGAGAGATACTAAAGAAGTTGAATATAAAAGTATTGTGATTGATGAGCTATACAAGATGAGTAGGCAGATATACTGCATATCCCAAACATTGCATAGGGTATGCATATACTAAAAAAAAAAAAAAAAATTGTTCTTGATCTGAAATTCAGATGTAACTGGGCATCCTGTATTTTTATTTGCTAAATCTGGCAACCTTAATCTGCACCAAACGAGCTCCCTAGTCTGGACACCAAAGTTATAGAACTGTTGGCCAGGATGGTGGTAAATAAAGTCACTGCAATAATGCCACCCTGGGGGCCCCTGAGCATCAGCCAGGCAGCAGTCCTAGGCAAACTACGTCATCATGTGCCTCCTTTCCTCTTTGAATTTCTATAGATTCCTTATAGAGCACTGAAGTTTCTCTCCACACCCAAGCCATGTTTGCCCAATTCCAGAGGGAGCCATTCTCCTTGTAGTCTGTAGGAGTGGCGCCCTCTGCAGCTGTGGCTGGGCATGGTGGCTCTGTCCGTACTTGTCCATCCCTTTACTTTACAGCCTTGGAAAAGCAATTAAAGATAAATAAACCTGTTCAGGCATGGTGCAGTCCATCGTTATTGCAAAGAAGCTTGGCGAAGAAATGCTGGACTGTGAATGAATATTTCATGAGAAATAGGGTCTAAGCCATGTGAATAGGAGAGATATAGACCAGAAGGCAATGGATCTTCGTAGAGGTGAGCTGTGATTTTGTTCAGATACTTTCGTAGAAAATGGGCAGCGGTTTAGAGCGGATATGCCTGTCACCCCTGCCTCTCCCTCAGTGAGATTAACTGTCATTCTCCATCCTCCCAATCAGACCCTGGGCCCAGGCTCCTCCTTCCTTCACACCCCCAGAACCAATAGAACCTGAGTAGAGAAACCACGGTTATTTATCAGGGTGTGGTAGCAGGGCCAGGGGAAGGAGAGAGCTGAGTCCAAAGGAAGCACAGAGCGAAAACCTGGATCTTCCCGATGGTGGGACCAGTGCCAGGTGGCCTGGTGTGCTTTGAGACCTTCACCCATATGCCATTAAAGAAAGACTTAGCCCTTTGAGAAGACAGATGAGGTATTATTCAGAACGGGTGGGGCTAGCACTGTCCGTGGCCACACAACAGGCTGGCTCAACACTCCGAGTGGACACCTGGGCGCTGAAGAGCAGCTGCAGGCAAGGGACCACGGATGAGAGAAAGAGTAAGTCACATGTTCTGGAATTTCTCCTCTCAGAAAGTAGCTGGAGTCATCCCCTTGGTGTAGTGAAGAGAGGCCACCACCTGAATCACATGATCTCATTTTGAGCTTCACAACTTTACTTGTGAGCATGATAATCCCTTTCCTACAGAGGAGGAAACCCAGAGAGAGAGACTGGGCAAGGTAGACACGGGTCTGCTAGAGATGACCTGTGGGCACTTTGGGAACTGAATTGAGCACGTGACACACTCTCAACCAGTGGCCTGCCCCGTGGCCAGGAAGGAAGTCCTGAGGAGTTCTAGATCAAGTCCACCTGAGTCAGTGCACTGGACTTGTGAGGTAAATCCAAAGGTCCGTATCCATGACCAAGTTGCTGACAGAAGAGGGAGCCATGGACCAGGCATTTACATCTCTGAGTCCTATCTTTTTGTCTTTAGAAATGGTCAGGGGCTTATCTGCAGGCTTTGGAGCCATGTGAAATAAATCCAGAAGGTGGTGGAAACAGGGATTGTCACCTGCTGGGCTGGGCATGAAGGAAGGTGAGGGCCTCTGAACTCAGCCTGCGAGGTTCACGCTGGCGGTCTCAGGTCAGAAGCCTGAGCAAAGGAGTATGAGGGCAACCGTACTATACTAGTCCTTAGTGCTGGGGGAGGCCCCCAGCCTCCTGAGCTCCTCTCCATCCTTGAGGGTCCAGCCTGGCAGCCCCTCGTTCAGGCCTTAGGCACACGTTCACAGAGGCCCCCTGACGTGACAGGCTCTATGGAAGAGGAGGCGTCTGAGCCTTAAAATAGGCCACTTATGATGGGGGCCAAAAGCAAAGTGCCCATCAAGGACTCGGTGAAAGGCAGGCCATGCCCAGGTCACCAGAAATGGAAGCTCAGACAAGACAGCTTTAAGGATGAGATACCTCTGTGCAACCACCTTAGAAACAAACGGCAAGAAGAGAAACCTGCATGACCTGAGTTCTCAAGCCCATAGCCCATTGTGACATCACCAGCCAAGGTCGGATATAAGAGGGCAGGCTTTATCAATGCCATCCCCCTCAGCCCTGGCCTCTGTCACCTCCTAGGCCAACAGCAAAGCCAAAGGTCATGCTCCTGTTATCAGTTTTGCTGCTCATGTCCCAAGCCAAGAGCGCACATCTCGGTATGTAGACTCCTCTCCCAGTGTCCAGAGCAGCTCTCCCAGGCAGGACTGGACATGACAGTGACCCTGCTCATGTCCCCTTCACCCAGCAGAGCATTAGGGCAACGTGAAAGAGTTGGTTAGTGAGTCCATTAATTAACAAATTGGCCACTAAGACTGACTCAACAAATGTTAATGGGGTGTCTCTTCTCCTGGGGTCAAGGAGCTGGACTCAGTCCAGAAGCAGATTTCTCCTCTCTGCACTGGCAACTACAGCTTGTGCTCTCAGCTTCCTAGGAAATGGAGCTGGTCCTCCTGGAACAGACTGTTCTAACCTAGGACAGTTCAGGTCTTCCGGTAGGTTCGGGTCCTTTCTGCGCCCTCTGGTTTCCCACGTGTTTTAGTTTCTTATGGCTGCTATAAGAAACTACCACAAACTTAGTGGCTTAAACAACATAAATTTCCTATCTTACAGTTCTGTTCGGTAGAGGTCCAACATGAGACCACGGTGTCAGCAGGCCTGCATTCCTAGCAGGGGCTCTGGAGAGAACCTTTGCCTTGCCATTCTAGTTTATAGTTTGTGGCCCATTATTCCATCTTCAAAGCCAATGACATTGCATCTCTCCAGGCCTTTCTTTTAAGATCTCAGCTCTCTCCTTCTGCCTCTCTTTACCACTGTTAAGGACCCTTGTGATTACATCGGACCCACTCAGATTATCCAGGATAATCTCCCGTTTTAAGGGCAGCTGATAATCAACTTTAATTCCGTCTCCAAAATTTCCTAAACCTTGTAAGGCAACATCCACAAGTTCCAAGCCATGGTCCATTAGGACACGGCCATCTTTTGGGAGTGTTATTGTCCCTACCACTCCATAGTTGGTGCTGGACAAGTATTTCCCTTCATTTTCTCTTGGACGAAGGCAGAAACAAACTCAGTGAAGTGACTTGACCGAGATCACAGTGCTGGAAAGAGGACAGAGCCCACACTTTTGACCCATGTCTCAAGCTCTGTGCAACAAAAATAAAGCTTACTCTGTTGGCTTACTTATGTTCCCGGGCTGCTTCGCTGGGCCAGCCTTCGTTTCTTTATGTCGAGAATGAGTATAATGATAGCTACTTAGAAGCTTCCTACGGATATCGACTAAGTGTTGCATCTTTTCCTTTCCTTTCTCTTCCATTCCACCAGAATGCGGTGAAAGACCTACTTTTGAGGGAGGACCTCAGTATTCCAGAATCATAGGGGGCATAGAGGCTGAGGTGGGTGAGTTCCCATGGCTGGTGAGTATTCAGGCAGGCAATGAACATTTCTGTGGCGGCACGATCATCGACGAGTGGTGGATTGTCACTGCTGCTCACTGCTTATCTCATGAGGGGATGATGTAAGTATCAAGAGCCCCTCCCTGCTGTTTCGGTCAGCGTTCACCCCTGGAGCACCCCAACACTCAGTCAGACCTGATTGCTCAGGGGAATCCTGGGGCTGGTCAGTCCTCAGACACTACAGCTATCACCCACCCCCTCCAGCCCTGGGGATAAGGAGGCAGCAAACTGGAGCTTGGCACCCTGCTGTGCCCTCCTCATTGTCACCCAGGGCCAATTACTATGGCTTTGCTGAGGTCACACACTGTTGTCCCAGGAATATCTGTGGCCCAATGGAACCAAAGGGCTTGGTCCGTTTACCTCTCCTAGGACAGTCAAGTCTTCAGAGGAAATTTTCCTAATTCTGTAAGTCTGGGTTTCTGGGCCATCAGACACCCCAGTACTCTGCTCCTTGTAGAGTTTTCTCTGTGTTCTAGGAGACTGGTAGAAAATCTGGAATCTATGGATTACCAATCATGTGCCAATGACCTTCTAAGAAGCTACCTGCACTAGCTTATTTAATCATTTAACAACCCTGAGGCAAGTAGAATGAACAATGCCGTTTTAGAGAGAAGGAATCTGAGATCCAATGAGGTTGGTGGCTCACCCAAGGTCCACACCTAGCAGACAGAAACAGGATTTAAATCCTGGCTCCAGTGCTTGAGCTTTCTGCTACACTTGCTACATCACCTCAGGAAAGTTCGAGGATACACAGACCGACTTAAAAGCATTAATCAAACACCTCGACAGTTTCACTGTGGCATAACCAAGGAAACGCATTGTACCTGCTCCCATGGGTACTTAAAAAATTGGCTATTAGAAAGTTCTTGGAGGGCAATTCCTGAATTATAACTGAGGATTCTTTCTGCTTAATCAGTAGCAGGTCTAGATTCAATTCTGTTCTGGGGTCTGTAAATTGCTGGTAGACAAATTTATGTAGTAATACTTTACCTATCTGAGGGTTAGTTTAATTTGTGCCAAGTGTTTTGTGTTTTCGTTTTTGTGTGTGTTTGGTTTTTTTTGTTTTGTTTTGTTTTGTTTTGAATTGTTTTGTGGGCTCTTCAGCCTCTTCTGCCTTTGCCCAGTAGGCAGGAGTATTTCATTCACATCTCTGGGACTGTGCTTGGGCAGCCGTGTGGCTATGGTCTGCCACACTGGCCATTTCACACTCCTTCTCTACCTTTTTCAAATTCTCACACCTTCTGAGCAACAGCCACAGTACAACAAGTCCTAAAGGCCCCTAGAACTAAATGGGATGTAGGTGTTTTCGGGCACAGCGAGTTCTGGGTGTCTTGTGACTTTTCTTCCCCTCTTGCCCTCCCCTCTCTGGTTCTGTGCTGCCAGTCCGACAGACCTGAGCGTTGTGCTGGGGACCAACAACTTACAGAGCCCATCCCTGGAGGTAAAAGGGGTCTCGAGCATGGTTCTTCACAAGGACTTTAACAAACTCAACATGGACAATGACATCGCCTTGCTGCTGTTGAAGTCGCAGATCACGTTCAGTGGCCTGAAGGAACCCATCTGCATGCCCTGGCAGCCCAGCCCCTCCACGTGGCACAGATGCTGGGTAGCAGGATGGGGACAGACCAAAACTGGTATGTGACTGCCACGCACCTCCTGAGAGCTACTGGGGGAGGAGCCATATCATGGGCATCTGCGGCTGGGCCACTCGGTCTAAAGGACAGGGGAAGAGGGCGCGAAGGGGAGAGGGCTGAGGAAGGAGGGGACAGAAAAGGACTTGCACTGGAGCAAACCCCTGCACCGCAGAGGCCCGCGGAGGCCCATTCTCAGCCCCTCCTCAGGGCCGAGGACGCCTCTCTTCAAGGCCCTAAGCTGGGATGCCAGTCCTGGGCATGGTCGTATTCAGACAGCACAGAGCAATCTTGTTTGTCCGTTTAATTGAATTTACACTCTCCAGTTGGCCAGAGGCCTCTCTACTCTCAATTCCTTCACACCTCTTTTGGTTCACCCATTCACGTTTCCCACCTGCTTCCCACAGGCATTCGAGATGCCTGCTCTGGCCTAGATGTTTGATGGCCCTGGAGTGTTGCCCAGCCACTCTTAGAAGTGGATCTGTTGTTACTTGTTGTTACATTGTTACTTGGCCAAAATAGGAGGAACTGTAACAGGGTTGATGAAAGAAATCCCCAGAGAAAGCTCAACAAAACCCTGGACTGTCCCCAAAGAAAACTCAGCAAAACCAAGAGCAAATGGGTAGAGGAAGGAATGGGAAGAGCACAGCCCCGTCTCAGGCCTGAAACAGACTCTAGGTCCATAGGGATTCTTTGCAATGAGCTGGGGTCTGGAAAATGGTAGGTATTTCAAGAGTTTAGTAGCTAGAGAGCAACTGGTGTCACATTGATTCTGGGCTCCCAGCACTACTCAAACGTTAGAAGTGGAGGAGGACATCTATGAGATTAAAAATGCTCGATAAGAAGAACTGAAATCTCCGTGTGGCCAGAGTTAATGAGATGGAGAGAAATCCAGACCGATTCCCGGAAGCGGCTGCAAAGGGCCTTGGCAGGTCCCCTGTAAAGACTCGCAGCCAACCTACCCTTGCCTAGAGGACGCGAAAGCTTTTCCGCTGGGAGTACAAACGCACTCTCCGCAGCCCTGTGTTAGGGAAGGACCATACTCTCATAATAAAGGTGGTAATAGGCAGATACGATGAAAAGGTAGGATTATGCTGAGAAATGATCCAATAACCAGTGCCGAGATGTTAAGTCTGTAGGTCTGGCTGGAGTCAAGCTGGAAGTCTTCTTGGAAGCAGGCATATGATTTTGAATGAGAGAAATAATTGAAGTAGATGGGAAATTGTTTGGAAAAACATGGGGTGATGGACTGAGTAAACTGCCTGGGATGACTTGAAGGAAGTAGAGAATGAGGGGCTGAGAGTCTGTGAAGGAAGGTGGACGGGCGGCTGATGGGAAGCAGGGATGCTCGGGGTGGTCAAGGACACAGTCAGTGGCATTATGACACTGGACTGCCATCTGGTGACTCTTCTAATATGCTTTCTCTGTGGGCCAGGTGACAAAAACTCTGTGAAACCTGATCTGATAAAAGTGCCAATGATCATCATGGATTGGGAGAAATGTTCAAAGTTGTTTTCAAAACTTACCAAAAATATGCTGTGTGCTGGATATGAGAATGAGAGCTATGATGCTTGCCAGGTAACTAAGGGATATCCCCTCCTCATCTTATAGGTACTCATCCTCTCAGGGCTGCTGATGCAAGGGTATCCTCTCTCCACTGGGAATAAATAGTAATAGTCTGAAAAATGCATGGGAATCGGGGCTTGGCCGTGGAGTCGGGGACATGGATTGGGGAATACTCATTGTCAGGTCCTTGGAATACCAGTGCATGCCTGGGAGGCAGTATGCAGAAGCTCTGCATAAATATCTGAGGTCATCTCCAGGTACACTAGATAAATAGGGCTCCAGGACCTTTTCCATTACTGGGATTTCTTAAAAAACAAAAAGGCAAGGGGGATTTGAGATCCATACAAAGAATCATTTTAATTCATCAATTTAGCAAATCTTTGTTGAGCATAGTAAGCCCTGGGGATTCAACCATGAATGAGACTTAGTTTCTCATCTAATGGGGCCCACGATCTCCTGGACAGGCAGGTGGGTAAACAACTATAATATATTGGGTGATGCACGTGGGTTTCATCAAACCAAAGTCTGATATCTTAGTCTCTCTTTAACAAAATGAACACAAAAAATCTAAAAAGAAAACCACTTTTTGAGTGATGCTAGAAAATATAGAAAAAAAATACTCAGAAATTAGCTTCCTTTGTTTTTATGGATGAGTGATGGACTTTATCTTTACAGCTCAAAGATGCTCTCTTCATCTTGGGAGGGATCACTCTGATGAGCCCACTTAGTCCTACTCATCGGCTTGGCAGTGGATCTGTTCATTAGGGTAAAACTGTAAATGTAGATGTTATAGATTCAGTAGAGTGATGGAAGGCTGTCTCATGGAAGGGGAGAGTATTTATCTACAGAGGGCTCCCCTATCAATCCCAAAGGGGAAACAACGTGAATAGACAGTGTGGCTGGAAAGAGAGAGCATTCCAGAGAGAATGTGGGGGAAATCACAAAGGCTTGAAACAGCATCATGTGTTCAGGGAACTTCCAATATCCCAGAAGCCAGGGGTAACATGCGATGACTCTGGAGAGGGAGGGGAGCAGAGCTAGATCCATAAGGGAGGTTGTGCCCTGTGTGGGAGACGCTCTGTGACCCCAGGCTGTCACTTTTAGTGCCCACTCAAGAATATAAGAATCAGGCCCCACCTGTACTCCCAACTCTCCTTTCAATCTCTGATCCAACACCATCACATGTTCAAATGGCCAAAGCCAACTGTGACAAAATTTGAAATAATCAAGTGTCATCTTTGGTGACATTTTCTGTACCCTTTGCTTTAATGGCTGGATCAACCATCTGGGGTCTAGAATTTTTGCTTCAGTCCCTCCCCTACCAAAATGTACTTTAATGAAAGCTTCTAAAAGTAATCATCTATTACTTAAGAGTGCTTGCTATAAATAAATGTGCTGTTATCATTTTAAGCCTTTTTTTTTAAAAAAAATCATGAAGTGAAAAGCTTTGCTCTCTGTTTAGAAAGCTTTCTATTGTCAACAATAAGCTGACAGCAATTCAGTAAAGGAAATTTTTTGAAATTATACAATATTATCATCACCTAAAAACAGAGAAACCAGGCAGAAAGTCCCTTATGGTTTTAAAATAACTACCCTTAAATATAAAATCACACTTTTAAATTTAGAAAACTTTTTAAAAGCATGTAATCACATAATTGAGGAAATATCATTTTATAACGAAAGCATTTAAACGTGTTCAAAATAAGGCAGTAAGATTCTGCTATGCCTAAAATACTAATTAAAAGTAAATGCTAAAATGAAAAACAATTGGGTTTTTGGATTCACTTTTCCCAGCACTTTTCATCTTTGTAATCCCCTGACTAAGGTTATACTATGAAGAAAAGTTTAATTTAAAAAAACAATAATTTTCGAGTGGCATAGTCAAGCAAAATATAAAATCAAACATATCCCACTAGTAAGTAACACAATCCTTTTGTGAAGGACCAGCAACCACTGGAGCAACCGGCATCACGACAAAGGGCAGTGTCTTCTGATCTGTCTCTTCCGCTCCAGCGGAAGCGTTGTCTTCTTCACGCGTGAACCCCCAGGGCCTCAAGCACTGCTCGGCACGCGGAAAAATGCTCAACAAACGTTTGTCAAATAGATGAACTTTCCAAGGAAGCCAGCAACTATCTGTCGGCCAATTAGCCCTAGCAGAGGGGACATCTGAGACAGGTCCTGAAGGAGGCTGAGTCTGCAGGTGGAGACAGGCTTATGTGCTGGCAGCCAGTCGGGCCATTGAGCAGTTTGGTTGCACTGCTACCAAGCCGACCTGGATTTAGACCTGAGCTACTTATTAAAGATTTTATTTTTTTAATGCAGTCTTAGGTTTACAGAAAATTTGAGAGGAAAGTATAAATTTCCCATATAGCCCCTGCTCCCACACATTCATAACCTCCCCCGTTATCAACATCCCCCACCACAGGGTACATTTGTTATAATCGGTGAATCTGTCTTGACACATCATTATCACCCAGAGTCCACAGCTTACATCAGGGCCTCTCTTGATGTTGGCATTCTACGGGTTTGGACAAGTGTGTAATGACATGTATCCATCGTGATAGCATCATACAGAGTAGTTTCACTGTCCTGGGCTACTTTCCAGGGTGTTATCTTGAGCTCATCACCCATGACACTAGCACAGATGTCTTATTTCACGCCACGGAATCTTAGACTTTGAGAATCACAGACTTGTAGAGCTGTAAAAGAATATAGGAAAATATTTAATCAAAACTCTGTTTCACAGATGAGAAAACCTGGTTATTTTAATCATCAGTCATTTCCTTCACTATCTGAATGGATCTGAAGAGGTATATTAACTTCGCAGAATTTTCACGCATTCGATAATTCTGTTCTCTGCACTATCCTGTAAGATTGGCTGGGCAGGTCTCACTCTCCCTCTTTAAACAGAGGAGAAAACAGGGATTTAGAATTTTAAGTGATTCCCCCTTAGTCCAAGTAGTGGTGGGCCTAGGCTGGAAGCCGGGTCATCTCCTTCTATCCTGGAAAGGACAAGAGCGATCACATGGGGTAATTATCTCACAGAGGTGAAGACTTGTGGTCAGTGTGCTCCTAACCAGACAGGTCCCTCCCTGGCCACCAGCTTTAGTCCCCCTTATGTGGGCTGTCATTAGTCCTAGGTTCCTAGGTGCTTGCTGACCGAGGCCAGACCCTTCTTTTAGGCAGTCCTTGCTTTTCTTTCCAAGAGAAAGAAAAAAACTTTAAAGGCTTTATGCATAAAAAGACATGTATTTATAGATGTTTCTCAGGTCCCAGCAGTCCATGAAGGGAATCTCTGTTTCCTAAACACACAAGAAATGTTTGTAATTCGTAAATGTAAAATAATAATATTAATACATTTCTGGAGTATTTACTATATACCACTCACTCTGTGCTGAGTAATTTATAGATTTTCTTAAATTTTATCTTCCAAAAATCTTGGGAAGTAGTTGGTATTATCTCCATTTTAAGGACATGGATCCTGAGGCTTATAAAAGTTACTTGCCCAAGGACAATTCTCTCCTTGTTAAGGAAAGAAATGAATAATCAAGGTAATACATTAATAAAAAATTTTATAATACTCATGCCTTCATAAAATTGAAAATTATAAAAACAGCATTTAAGGAATGAGCTATTTGAGTAGAAATCCTGTTGATTTGGTTCTTGCCCCATGACTTTGAAAGAGAACTAGCACAAAGGAAAGCGCACACCCACAAAAAAGCAGACACGTGCTAGAGGCGCGTTTGGCACTGGAAAGGGTAATTTTGGTTTGGCCCGTACTTACTGGGTGTCCTTGAGTTTCGAAGTCTCTGTTAGTTCTGCTCTGTTGAACCCTTTGTTAGTGATGTGTTTCACAGTCCACCCAAACTCCACTTGACCACAATTTATTCATTATCTTTCCCTGCATTGTATCTCTGTTACCCATTCCCAGTGACCTTAGAATTAGTCTTCGCCATCCATGTCCAATGTCACCAGTCACCAGATGGAGGGGTTTCAATCTATCTGCACTCATTCTGACCTCCTCATGCCCCGGTTCAGATCCTCATCATTTTCACCTTCTCTTAACTAGTCCCTCTACCTTCTGTCTCACTCCGC